TATGATGGTAATTTTTAAGTCGTTCCCTTCTGCTTCCTCTGCTTTGTTGTTGTGTTCCATTCTAGTTGGTGTAGAGTCCCTAGATTCTGGTGGTGTCATGCTTGTCTTTCTGTTGCTAGGTGTTTTCTTGTATTGCCTTCTTCCCATAGCTTCTTCCAGTAGGTGTTGGTGGGGTCTCCCCCTCTCTCTATGGTACTTCCCCGGTGGGCTTATGTGGGTCTGAGATTCAATATCTGAGCTCTGTGTGGTCCAAGCTCTCTAGGAGGTTTCTCCGCAGACAGGCACCCAGGGATGGGGTCAAGGATGAGGATCCAGTATAAGATGCCAGCAGGTACTCACAGTGGTCCTGCAGAGATAGGCGGATCTCTTGGAGGGACCCGGGACTCCAGCAGAGGACTGGAGGTGGGGTCAGAGACCAAGCAGGTGGAAATTACGGGTGGTCCCGCATGGATAGTCAGGTCTGCTTTGTTCAGAGTTGCTCTGAGAAGTCTCCGAAGTAGGGTGGACTGTTGGCTCCACCCTCTGTCCCAGTGCTCAACCAGAGTGGCAGGACCGTGGGTAGGGTAGGGGGGCAGGCTCGCGGTGGGGATGGGTGGGGGTGTATCAGAGCTCCAAATGTGCTCTTGATGGGGCAGGAGACAGGAGCACAACCATACATTCTCTATACTAGCAATTTGAAGACAGACCATTTTAAACAGCCTCTAAAACATAAAATACTTAGGAGAAATTTAAGAAAAAGTATAAGATCTAAACTGTAAAAACTATGAAATATTGTTGAAAGTAAAATTAATACTTGAAAAACAAAAACAAAAAACATACCCTACCTCAATTTTTCAGTTTACTTGAATATAGGTTTTTAAAGTATATACTTATGATTTTCTAAAGTTCTTCAGTGTCTGTGGCATTATTTCTCTTTTCAACTTTGATTTTTAAAAATATGTGTTACTTTTTGTTTTATGTGTAGATGCATTTTGTCTGAATGTATGTGAGTGTACAACATGTGGGCCTGGTGTCTGTGGAGCCAGAAGAGGATTCCGACCTCCTGTAACTGGAGATAAATATGGTTGTGACATGTCACATGGATCAGAACCAGGCGCCTTTGGAAGAGCAGCCGGTGCTCTTAACTGCTGAACCATCTCTGCAGCCTCTTCATCTCTAAATTTATTAATTTAGGACCTCCTTTTTTGGTTAATTTGGCTAATGGTTTGTCAATCTTATCAGTATTTGCAAAGAACCAAGTCTTCATTTAATTAATTGATATGTTTCTATGTCTTTAGTTTTACACCATTTTTGATGATCTTTTCATGTCTATTCTTTTGGGGTGTTGCCTTCTTTTTGTTTTTGTTTTTGTTTTCCAAAACCTTGAGATGCAACATTGAGTCACAAATATACACTTTTCCAAGTTCCTTGATGTGGGTATTTGTGCTGTAAACTCTCCTCTTAGAACTTCTATCCTGTAGATTTTGATATGTTGTATATTCCTCAGCCCTTATGAAAGAAGCTTCCTTGATGCAGTAGATGACAATTAACATGGAGATCTGGAACTAGGCACTGTACAAAGAATAATAGATTGTGGAATGTTCAGCCATAAATGCGATATGTATGTCATTCTTCTTCCCCAGAGTTAAGGATCATATGTGAAGAGAGGAAAGAAAGTCTGTAAGAACCAGAGTTGGTGGATGACTACAAAGAATCAGTGGTTTTAAAAGACAAGGCAGTTGCACATGTGAACTTACAGTAGTTGTGACACCATGCATAGATCTGTACAAACCCAGGACAGACAAAAGTCCTTGTGTGTATATTGTGTGAATGTATATGGTGTTGGGGGGAGACAAGGGAGGGAGAGAGAAGAGGGAGAGACAGAGACAGAGACAGAGACAGAAAAACAGAGAGAGAGAGAGTTTGCTGTCATCGCTCCTAGGTTCTGGCATTGAACGGCCATGAAACTGAGCACATACTTATATACATACATGATTTTGTACCCACTAGGTGAGCATACACAGTCTATATGTCTCTTCAGTTCTTCCTGGTTAGAACTCAGGCATATGGTCAAGGGAGATATGTACATTAAGCTTAATAAAAACCTAGATACAATAGGCATCAATTGTTTGATAGTTCTGGTGTCTTCAAGACGTTGTCTCTTTAGCTACCCACTATCTATACATAGTCTTTTTCCTAATGCATTTTCATCCTTTTACAATATCCAAAAGAACTAAAAATTTCATTCAGGGTTACATATCAAAGTTGTGGTTCCTGGCTATACATTCTTCTCTCCATTGAGATCCTCTTTGGTTATTTCTGGTTGACTAACATAAAAAGCACTCTTTGTACACATGCCCAATACTGGGAACAAGGAAAGGCAAGGAAATAGTGAAATGGAGTCACATTGAAGAGATTAGTTCATGAAAACAATGCTGTTTCTTGAAACCATTGTCCTAATAGTCTTACCAGTTTTAAATTTAGCTCTTGGATTTTTTTTTTTTTTTTTTTTTTTTTTTTTTTTTTTTTGGATCGGGGAGAGGGGATTCTAGGGGAAAGCACACCTTTTGTCTTCACTATGTGGGAAGTTTCCTCTCATCTCTTAGGCTAGTGAACAAATTTAATTAGGCATTGGAGATGTTGTTCTGTTTGAAGGCGAGGTGTGTTAAGGTTTAAAAGCTCAATGACTTACAACTTTACTTGGTTATAATACTGGATATTTTAGCAATACAAATCCTTTAAATATACAAAAGTATTTCTCCAAAATGAAGGCTGTGTTGCAGATATTGCTTTTAAAGCTGTTCATTTGTCTGTTTACCTCCACTGTACTCAGCTTTCTTCAAAGGCTGCTGGGTCAATAAATTAGCTGGGAAGGCAGAACTTTTCATTAGGCCTTTACCATAGGGTAAGACACCTTTATTTAACTAAGAAGACTTAATGGACCTTTTATAACCAATCTTTTTTCATTTTGAGCCCCTTCTTGCTAAGTAGGAGCAGGAAGCACTTGCTTTTTGTAACTGTGCTTCACATTTCTGTCTTCTTTCTCTTCCCTTCTACTTAGTTTTGCAATTGGTCCATTTCTCTGAGCACATTAAATATAATAATGTTCAGTGAAGTAAATTTTTTAAGCATTTGGTTCATGTTCTATATTATTATAGGTGAATACTGTTTATACATAGAAATATCTTCTTTATCATCACTAAGTCAATGACTTTTAAATTTATATTAACATATGTTTATTTTATGTATTGGAGGATATGACTGGACACATATTGGAGTCAGAGGACAAATACAAGAATTGATTTTCTTTTCCTACTATGTGGGGCCCAGGATAGAACTCAGGTCCTCAGGCTTGCCAGAAAGAACACTTTATCTTCTGAGCCATCTCACTGACTTCAATGATATTTATCCTATAATTTAAATATTATATTGCCACATTTCTGATACAAATTATTATTGCACATTTTAAAAGGATATATACTTAATAGGCAGCTACTTTTCTAAATATAATTTCTCAAGGCTGCCCATTACCTACAGTTTTTGAATGTGTTGGATAAAAGTTGTTACAACAGAAAAACAATATTTATTTATTTATTTTGTTTTTTCGATAACAGGGCTTCTCTGTGTAGCTTTGGAGCCTCGTCCTGGAACTAGCTCTGTAGACCAAGCTGGCCTTGAACTCACAGAGATCCTCCTGCTTCTGCCTCCTGAGTTCTGGGATTAAAGGTGTGTGTTGGTGAAAACCTGGCTCAGAAAGACAATTTATATCAGCATCCAAGAGATACATATGTAAAGATATAAGTCCAAAAGCACATGTATTAATTACTTTTCTCTTGCTGTAAATCAGCACCATGACCAAGGCAACATACAAAAGAAAATGTGTAATGGAGTTTATGAATCCAGAGGGTTAGAGTTGATGATGGCACAGTGAAGGCAAGATGGTAGAAATGCCTGAACTGTCACTTCTTGCACTGTAAATTGGAGGAAGAGAATGTACACTTGGGGATGCCAGAAGGTGTTTGCAACTCCAAGCCTACTCCCAGTGACATACCTTCTGGTCACCCTTCCTCAAACAGCCACTGAGAAGGGGCCAAGTATTCAAATGTTTGAGCCTACAGGGCTTTTCATCCAAACTATTATAGCCCAGGAGGTCTATAGAAGCAATGTTACTTAAAAACCCCTCCTGTGTTATGGACATCATAAATTACTTTTCTGGAACTTAACTAGTTTTTCATATTGTTCTTAAAAGTTATTTAAAACCACTGAATATTGTTCATTTGAATTTATAACAATTATGCTATCCCCTTCATAAGTCAGTCTAAAATGAACTCCTTACCTAAATTATAGTGTTGCATTAACTCACTACTGAATGTAATGACTAATAAATACTTTAATGATAATTTAATGGTGTTTGTGCATGTCTGTAAGCTTAGTGTTTAGAATGCTGAGGTAGGATGATCATGACTTCCAGGCCACTCTCAGATGTCTTTAATTAAACACATCAACACCATGCACAATATATGAGAATAATGTTTCATTTAAAATTACATATATATTGTTTCATTTAAATCATAAATCATAGAGTTAAGTTATAGTTTATTTTTACCGAACTTTAATAATACATAAATATTGTTAAGGAATAAGTATAAAAAGTAGGAATTAAAGTAAACCTTCCTTAGTTAATATTTAAAAATATTCTTTGTTACTGACAAATGGTATGGCCTTTAACTGTAATTCAGTTTCTATTGAAGTTTAAGACATCATGACATATTTTAATATTGGAAAGAAAGTAAATGTTGAAAATTGATTAATAATCCAAATGCAGTTTATTTATAGTTCTTTTGAAAGAATTCTAAATAAAAATATAATGAAAACATTGGAAGTTTAAAGCTTTTGTTTTATTTATTTATTCTGTTGTGGTCTCTGAATTGATAATCTCTCTTTTCTAAGTCTAAAGCTTTTATTTTATTTATTTATTTTGCTGTGGTCTCTGAATTGATAATCTCTCTTTCTTTTTTAAGACCAATTCATAGAACAATCCATGAACACAACACTGTGTGGAGGATGCTGAAGAAAATTCCAGTGTTAGCTTCTCAGCTCAGTGATGAACATCTGAAAATTCTCAGTAAGAAAGTAATTTCTGAAACTTGGATCAAAGGCAGCACAGGTACTTGACTTTGTGGGACATCTAGCAGATGAAATGCATACACCAATGTCAATAGTCAACATGGTTATTGTTAAAAACTTATAATTTCGCTTGACATGCTAAAACACACTGCTTCAATATAGTCCACTTTCAAGAAATACTATTTAAGTAATATTCACATTTCAGAAAGATTTATAGCATATCTTTGTGTAATTGAACTTTGAATAAATATCCAAATAACTCATAGTGCACCCTGAGAAACAATGAGCTTAATTCCCTAGACTTCTGGCTTATCAGGTCTGGGATAGGGCCTAAATATATTTATAATGATCTATTGATGATAACAATGTGAGGTACAAATGTAGTAACAACCCAAAGCTGTCTTTCAGATTGAATACTCAATGGTCAAAGTGCTTGCCTGCCTAGTTCAGATAGAGCCCTAGATATTGGGAAAAGACTTAGTAGACATAATGTCCATCTTTAGTCTGTGCCCAATGGCTATAGGAGCTACTTTATTAGATATTCCTGCACCTGAATCTTTGAAGGGAAGGCATGCAAAACATATTCTTTGCATCACAAATATTTCTTTTTTACTCCTTACAGAATCAAAATGATAGGTAGTATTATTGTTTGCAGATGAGGATCCCTATGGCATAAATATATCATGGAGAGGAATCCTGCTTGTAAATAGATTATAAACATACTTCAGTCCAGCTCTGAACTTGCCCTGTGTGTTTGCCACTATTTGTGGAAAGCAGTTGATCAGGAACCTGACATTTAATACTGAATTGGAATTTTGGAGACTCATGACTTTTGAAAAGATTTACATATTTTGAGAGTTTTGCCCCAGTGGTTTTCTATCATAATTGATTCCATTAATTAGAATCAAGGGACAAAAGATAAATCAAAAGAATTCTGCCACTATTAAATTTATTTCAAAGGGAATAAAGAACAAATATTCACCATTTCTCACTATAAGCTTGAGGATAGTAATTAAAAACTTCATGTTTTATAAGCTCTGAAATTGTATTTCTAACTGCAAAAAGTGTTAGAGCAACCTAAATGCCCTTCAATAAAAGATTGACTGTCATCAGTTCTATGGAACTGTAGTCACTGGCTATAAAGAATGTATTTATGTCCATGCATATGTGTGTCTATGTATATGTCTCTATATATGCACCTATATGTATAGACAAAAGGTAGTAAAACTATAATAGTAGATACTTACAGATATCTATAAAAGTATAAATATATGAACATATGTATATTATTTAAACCTATAAGTGGATCCAGAATGACATTTTAAGTATATATACATTAAAAATATTTTATTGCCTTAGTGGAGAGGAGTAGTATATGGAAATACTGTGGTTTTGGTGTGGCTTGAATGGTTTACAACAATCTACTGTGATTGAAGGTTTGGTCTAGCTTTGAGTCAATTAATGATGGTGGGAGGCATTTAGAACCTTTGGGAGGTGGATCCTTCTGGATGATTCTTTTACATGATTTGGCTATAAGGCAGATATGTGCCATTCACTGAATTTTTATAGGAAATTATGATAATGTTATCAAGTATGGCCCAGTTAATCTTGCTCATGACACAGTGTTTCCCTACAGTATTACTTTACCAGTAGCCAAGCAAATAGGATATGAAATAGAACTAGTACACATCATGGGCTAAATGTACCCTTTTCCATTATTAAGTCAGATTTCTTGGCCTTTTTTTTTTGGTAGCAAATGAAGCTATTAAACGAGAAATAAAAGCAAATAATTTTCTATTTCTCCCACATGTATGGACAGGATAATTGTCTGCCAATAAATTGAATCACATGAACTGTAATTAAAGATTTGTATTTTTAAAGGTCTATACTAAAATTGAAAACAAACACTTTATTATGGTGGCATAAAGATACTTACTGCAGTTGTTAGTAAGGTACCAAGTTTTACTTGATTATATGTCATACAGAATTTCAACTCGCGTCTTCTAGTTCTTTAAAAATTTATAAGCCTGTGTTTTTCTTCAGCTACCCATATCCAGATCCTTTGGAGTTTTTAAGACATGTAGTTCTAGCAGCTCAGATGTTTCCCTATCAAAGTGTCAGCTCATTAGATACACAACGTTTATAGTTCTCTTTGTTCATCCAACTTAAGAGGAAAGCCGATCTAAGTGTCTGTTCTCTCCCTTTGCTTTATTCATGTATGTGCTTCTAGCCCTCCATCTGCTGTGATTTAAAGTGTTCCCCCATGTAGCCCTTCATCCCCAGGCTGCTGACTTTCAATCTGCCACAGAGGCTCACTTCTATAGTGCAATTCTGCACAGCTGTTTGTGCCTTCTGCTCTTTTTATATGGCCATTAGGTTTGTTGAGCTGCATTATTTAAGCAAGTTTCATAAATTTACCATTAGCCATATAGTCTCTTATAATTCAGTTACTACAAACTATTAATGAAGAGGCAATATTATGACTTAAGTAAATGAAACATATGTTTCTATATAATTCTGGAATTAAGCATGCTATCTTATTACTTACTATAAAATTACTATGTTTAAAGATCACTTATATTAATTGTATCAAAATTACTAAACTCAAGGGACAGAGATGTAAGTCAGTATAAGTCATGCATTAGGTATTGATCTGCAATCTTTTTCCACACTAGAGGTAAATTGCATGATGTTACCATATGACTCTCCACAGAGGCAGTGAGAAGCTGTTGCCAGAAAGCCTGGGAATTTTTTTTTTTTTTTTTTTTTTTTTTTTTGCAGTGTAGTGTGTTGTTAGGCTATCATGCACACAGGATAGGTGTGTTAAATATATTTTTTACTTGATTTATATTTTAAAGTTATGTGACCTTATCATAAGTTGAAAAGCATTTGTAATAAAAATATTTTAAATATTTCCATCTGAAGCAAAAGTTGAGGGATACTCTTCTATTACCAACCCCAACAGCAGTAGGACATATTATTTGGGAACAGATTTAACTGAAGAACTACAAAACTTATGTATTAAAAGCAACAAAACAGTTTTGAGAACTATATTTAAATATCTAAGTAAATAGAAATTCACCTAATGGTCATACTTTAAAGGACTAATATTGCAATAACTAAGTTAACATATAAATCAATCACAGTAACTGGTAAAAGAACCAGATCTCTTTTTATAAAAATTGACAAACTGGTTTTAAAATTCATATGGAAACTTAGAAAATTAAAGAAATCCAAACATTATGGAAAATAGGTAATGAACCAGAAGGCCCACATATATCTATTTTAGAAGTCATTATAAATATCTTTAGCTTCAAAACAGTATATCAATATATAGGCAGATATGTTGATCAATATAATAACATAATAACAACTTTATAGTTTATTTTTTAGATTATGTTTTTAACATAGTCCAGTGGCCAAAAGAAAAGTCTTCAAAAATATTGGTCAACTGTATCTGTATAATAAGTAATTATGTATATATAAGCGCTAGGCCAAAATGGTTCAAAGACAAAGTGGAGGAAGTAAAACTGTTAAACTTTTGTGGTGATGTATAATTTATGATTTATTAAAGCTTGCCTGAGTGTTCAAATTGCAAAGCTAGCCACAAGCCATAAATGTCAGATGATACACACCAGCAACCATACTAGCAATCCATCAAGGCAGGTAGTGGTGGCATACTCCTTTAATCCCAGGATTCAGGAGACAGGCAGATGGATCTTTCTGAGTTCAAGGACACTGGCCTACACAAGAGTAAAAAGTAACAAAGCTCACTCACACCCTTAATCTCATCACTAGGGAGGTGGAGACAGGAGTGATATGGATGGGAGGAGCAAGGAATATATATAATGCAGGAGGAGACAGTACCTCAAAGTTTTTGCCTCTGAGGATTTGTGGAGGTAGCATTGTCTCTGATGATCTGTGGAGACAGGATTGCCATTTCAGGTTGGTAGAGGGAACTTCTACTAGCTTGCCTGCTTTGCTTCTCTGATCTTCAGCTTGAACCCCGATATCTGTCCCTAGATTTTTATTATTTGTGTTACAAACCTTTAAATTACTGATTAATTTTCAGTGACCACAGGTTATAAATGCCAAAAATTTGGATAATTTGCACTGTGTGGAAATTAAAACACCTTGAAATCAATAAATACGAGAAGACAAAATATGGTGGCCCAAAACATCTTCTAAATCTTGAAGATGTAGCATGGCCTCCATGTAGTCCCTCTAACTTCTGGTTGCTTAGCTGTTGAAGTTCCCAGAACTACCAACAATGGGAAAGACTAGCTTTAGTACATCTACTTCTTTGCCTCTTGGTGGAACAGTTTCTCAAAAGACTTGATTGTGATTTTGAGACTCTACTACAGATGATCTTGACATAATAGAACCTCAGCCGAATGTGTAGACAAGTAGAAAAACAGAACCACTGTGTTATAACCAGGCTTTCCAAAAAAAAAAAAAAAAAAAAAGATATCATCTAAGATCAATTTAGTGTGATTCAAATGGCTCTTTAAGCTGTTGTGTAACCCAGCTAAAGTGTTATTTTCCCTTTCAATGTCCTTTCCATAGTTCTGTAAGTTTCTGTAGAGTATGTTCTTTGCTCTTAGCCCAAATAATAAAATTTATTCAGATAAAAAAATAGCAACAGAAGAAAAATGTACTTCTATATTTAGTTCTTAAATAACACTGTTTATGTGTCTAAGCTCATACAATAAACCCCTCTTCACCACAGAGGTTGAGTGAACGAATGAAATATTTAACTGAGAAATCAATAACCCTCACATATATACAAAATAAATAAGCAAAAATTTAAAAATAATGACTGTTCCTATTTTTGCAAGAAACTCTATTTAAAAAAGATTTGTTGGCTTACAGATTATATATAATTTCCACAAATGAATAAAATAACCAATTTCTTAATCTAATATGTATAATATGCAACTATTTTAATGTAACTAAATTAAAATATTCCTCAAAGTAAATGGGTAAAGTTCCAATATCCCCTCACCAGCCGAAAATGTAAAACTCAGAAATGTTTTTTAT